AATCACAACGCACTGGATAGCTGGCCAATCAGAGCACCCCTCGCTTTTCTTTTTTAGAACGATGAGCTTTGTAAAAATCGACGCGTTTCAGAAAGGCGGGGCATAGAGGAGAAACAATAATGTACAGTATGTGGAAAATAATGTGTTTATAACTTTAAACCGCATAAACACATTTCATTACACCAAATACACAAAATAATGTTCTTTTTAGCAGCATCATATGACCCCTTTAAAGGCAGCTCAGTGTTGATTCAGTTCTGTTCAATATGTAAAGTGAATTATGAAATTAGTTCAGTTGGGCAATGTAGCATTCTTTACTACTATGAACCCTTATTAACAAGCCTTTGTAAAACGAAAGGTTAGCACATTTATTTGTAAGGTAACAGCCTCGACAGCTGTGCTGAATTAAGGTTCAGTGTTTGTCATGTGACAACACTAGCATACTGCTCTGAAACATTTTGTTGCTTATTGTATGCTGTAGAACACACTGTTCTTTAAAAAAAAAAATTGTAGGCAGTATACACTGTATACTGGGCAGTAAGTAGTATGTTAGTATGCCATTTCGAACACAGCCTGTGGCTATCCAGGACCGACATTGGCCAACCCTGTTGTATGTCATTAGCTGTAAAGGGAATGAAATTGAAAAAAGTAGGTTATGCAAGGTTATTAACCGCAAACTATTGAAACCATTCACTAAACTATTCATTCAATACTAAGCTGAAGCATTGTAAAAACTAAACAGGTTGAGAGATGAGGATGTCAAGTTTCAAAACATTTAGAGGACCTCATATTTAATGTAGTTCAGTTTGAACACTTGTTTGATCAGAAGCGTTTAAAATCCCAATAATAAAAGGTTCTTGGTTGAGCAGTTGTTGTCTGACTATTAGTTTTATCACAAGCATTAATGCAAGTACTATTTGTATTTTTATGATTTGTTTGACCGGTTAATTAAATTATAAATTTTACCAATTTTGTCAAGAGTTTCCAATTTTTTCCCTGCATGGGTTAGACAAAATGACTAGATAAAATGAATATTACTGAATATATAATCTGCACTACAGAGTTCTAAAAGTAACACTGAAATCAAACTGCAAATAAAATACATTAAATCTATCAAGATCTCAGCAGAGGATGATTAAACACATTCAAAAGAGCATTAACATCATCACTCTTTAAAACAGTTAATTTCTTTCATATGGCTACAGAATTTCTTGAAAT